GCAGCTGTGTCTGCAAGTATTTCCCAGGTGGTTTTTATTCTTCCTGTCTTTCCTTTCTCCCCACCCTCCTTGTCCCTGCTCCATTCAACTCAGTGTTGCCACTTAGTGGAGGCAGGGGACAGTCACTCACTGCAAGAACCAGAGCGCTGCCCAGGTCCCTGCAGCGCTGCCCCTGCCCCCGCAGAGCTGGGCTGGCTGCCGAGAGGGCACTGCTCTGCAGGGAGGCATGACTCTGCCCCTGGCTTTTTGATGGGAACAACTGTAATAAAGGCCGACGGTCGCCGAGTACTCCCTGTGAGCAGGCACTGGCCAGGCTTTGACGTGGGGGATGATCTCATTCACTGCACAGCTGTCCAGTGCTCCTTCCCTGCTCACAGCCACACGGCTGCTGTCCCCCTGATCCAGACCCAGGTTTGTCTACCCCTAGAGCTCACCTCTTGATTATTCACCCCTGTTCCTCCCTCGAAAGCTCCTTGACCCTGGTGTGCCTCCATTTCTCTCCCTGTGAAATGGGGGTAATGACTGCACAGAGCTACATGTGTGTGTTACAATGTACTAGCACAGTGGTCGGCAAACTCATTAGTCAACAGAGCCAAATATCAACAGCACAACGATTGAAATTTCTTTTGAGAGCCAAATTTTTTAAACTTAAACTATATAGGTAGGTACATTGTTATTAACGTAATTAGGGTACTCCTAAGCTGGCCTTTGCTAAAAATGTTTCATTTTATAATAATAAAGCCACCAACACAAAGTAATTACAATTCTGAAATTGATGACAAAAATACCTGTAGGATTTGCAGCTGGTTGGAAAAATACAGGTAACTTTATGCTTCGAGTAGGTACTTTTGTCACCCGGGCGTGATTTGCGGACGCAACTAGCACTAACCACTGCACATGAGACTGCGGACTGACTGGCTCACTCAACCCGTGCATGAATCACGCGCGCCTCCCCCGCGCTGCGTATCCCGCGGGCCCGCTTGCACCGCATCTCCCGTCGCCCGACCGACCGACACCCCCCACTTCTTCTAACGCCACTTCTTCAAATAGACTCGCCCAGGCCGAAAACCGACTTCTGCGCATGGGCCACAAAGTTTCAATCGCACTGTACGTGTGTGCCCGCACGTGGTATTTTGTGGAAGAGCCACACTCAAGGGGCCAAAGAGCCGCATGTGGCTCGCAAGCCGGGGTTTGCCAACCACTGTACTAGCAACACGCAGTGATATTCATTAGTGATGCCCTCCGACACTGCAGAGATGGAGCCAGAGACAGACTGGGAAGGAGTGCCGTTAAAAGTATAAACAGTGGCTGGAAACCTGGAGCTGCCCACGGGGAAAGGGAAGGAATTGGAACTGGCTGGAAGCTCGCCCCACTGGACAGGGGGTGACCAGTGATTAGACTGTCACAGGGCACAGCAAACACCTCGCTTGTCCTACTCCCTGGAGAACCTGGTCCCCCAGGTATGTCTGGGCAGTGGTGCCTTGGAGCAGCATCAGTGCTGTGGTTTAAGAGACTGTTTTTGAACAAGACCCAAGTGCGTGGGTCGAGACAGGGGTCGGTGTCCTGGCTGGGCCTGGGAAGCAGAGGCCTGGATGGAGCCCATTGTTCAGGTGGGACAAGCCAGGGCTTCTGTTGGGCTAACCAGATACTGCTTGGCTGTTTATAGCTGTCATTCCAAGTGCTTTGAGAGGGGCAGTGTGTGACAGGTCTCTTTGTCTGCATTTCCTTACAGTGAGGCCGATGAACATTTTGCAGGCTGAGGAAATTCAGGGTCAAAAAGCGATGGCAGAGCTGGGCTTTGGAGCTCTGAGCCATGCTGGTGGGCTCACTCCGTCCCCACCTCCGGGGAGGCTGAGCCCGAGGGCATCTGGCTACCTGCATCTCCGTGGCAGGCTCGCCTGGGAGAGGACCGTGGTTAGGATGCCCGTTTAGCACAGTGGGCACAGACCACATGCTCCCTTTCCAGTGGCTGGCTGACTGGCTGGTGGAAAGAGTGCTGCTCTGGAGTTGCCGTGGTAACACTCCCGCGCTTGGGGCCTATCTGCTGGGGGTATTTCCCTAGATGCACTGACATGGGGGCACAGCAGTGTGGCCTGGTGGTAGGGGTCATGGTTTCTCAAGCCACACCTACCAAGTTCTGTGCTTGTGATCTTGGGTGATTTGCTTTGCGCCTCAGTTTCCCTGTCTTTAAGTGGGTTGTGGTGAGGATATGAGTTTTAATGTCCATAAAGTGCTTATCCGCATAGTGCCTGGCACGATAGCCAGTGGTCAGTAATTGATAACTATGATTAGCTATTAGCCAACAGCTAGTGGGCTTGGGGAAATTTTCAGCTATAAAACACCTAAAGGAAGTGTGGCCTGCCAGGGACGCGGGGCTGGGCCCACAGCAGCCCGGGGCAGGCTCTGAGAGCAGCACTGGAAGCCGCAATAGGAAGGAGCGCAGTGAATAATCGGGGTGAGGGTGTCCTCACGCTCCGCCAGGAAGACAGAATGGAAGAAGGGATGTGAGGCTGGCTTGTGCTGGTTTGATTTTCCTTTTCCTCCTCTGTTCGGCATGTGAAAGCCTTCAGGTTTCAGCTGGATCTGCCATGTCAGATCATCAGAGATGCTCTTAACTCAGAGGGCTGGGTGGGTCAGTGGTTTGGACCTCTTTGGGAGGCCTCCTGTTTTGCCCCTCCTACCTGAAGGCCTGGCGCCAGGTTTAGAGGAAGCTGTGCAGTGAAGCGTCTGTTTGGTGGGGGTGGGGGTGGGGCCTGGAGTAAGTGGGTCAGATGGAGGCCAGGAAACCCTCTCAGCCTCCTCTCAGCCTCTTGGTACCTGGGTCTCCCTGCGCAGGCGCAGGCAGGAGCAGCGCCTGGTGAGTCAGTGCTCCGGGGAATTGGGGAATTTGGAGCCGGCAGGGCAGGCTGTGAGCATGGGGGGAGTGTGGGCCTTTTGTTTCTTTCAGCGCTCTAGCCTTTAGGAACAATCTGGAAATCAGGCTCTCACATGGCATAGCCCTGCTTTTTTTGAGGTAATTCAGCTTGAACAGTTGCTTCTCTTGAATGCAGGTCTTTCAGGAATTAGCCCTTTCCCTTTTAAATGTTTAATAGGCTGTGCTTATGTCTTAGTAGCTATACTATTCTCAAAGCATAAAAGACTTAAAAATACTTACGCGGTCTGTCATTTTCCACACTAAACCCTTATTGTGGTTTCCATGCGATTTTGAAGCCGGGGAAACTGGGAGGCTTTGCGGGCGTGTGTAGACACGTCTCTGTTCCTCTGTCCTCTTGGGGGCGGAGAATGGGACACGCCCTGACACGGAGTCTCCAGGAGCTGCAGGAATGACTCTGGTCTCCATTTTAAACGTGCACGTCCTGAGGCCTCAGAGCTCCTTTTGAAGAGAAGCGGAGTTCTCCAGGCGCTTTCGGAGGAAGCTATAGTCCTTTCCATACAGCGCGAAGCTCCAGCCTCGGAAAAGCACCTCTGCCCCACTGTGTCCTGAGCTGGAATGTGGACCCTGGAGGTCCATGAGCGCTCCTAGAGCAGAGGCAGGGCACGGACCTGGCTGGCCCGCCTCCCCATTAGACTCTGGCTCGTGGCTGAGTCCTGTGAGCACTGTGCCTTCCGTGCCTGCAGCTATGGTAGCAGGTGGTAATACTTTCTGAGTACAGATGCTCCTGCACTTACCATGGGTTATGTCCCAATAAACCCTTTGCACGCTGAAAATATCACGTCTAAATGCATTTAGTTCACCTACCCTACCAAGCATCGTAGCTTAGCCTGGCCTGCTTTGAACGTGCTCCGAACACTCCCGGGAGTCCACAGAATCATCTAACACAAAGCCTGTTTTATAGCAAGGTGTTATCTCATGTCATTTCTTACACATATTGCTTTGCACCATCGTAAGTCGGGGACCTGTGCTAAATTGTAGATGGATCTTCTAGTGGACTAGTTGAAAGTAAGAGTCCTAAGTAGACAAGGTCTTCAGAGAAATCACCTCACTCCTGGCCCAGAAATTTCTAGCAGTTCTTTAAAAACACCTTTTTAATTATCGGGGGCCAAGGCAGAGGCGGCAGAGGCCCCCGGCCACGGTGGTGGCAGCAGCAGGCGGGTCTGGGGCCAAGGCCCTTGCACAAATTTCGTGCATCGGGCCTCTAGTATAGGTAATAAACCACCATGGTGAGTTTGCTGTGTTTCCATGCAGACTTCTCTCTTTCATGTAGCAGCTGTCCTCCCATTTAGAGACTGGATTTGGGTAAATCTGCCCTCCTTTAAGGTGGAGACAGCCTCTTAGAGGCCCGAGCCTGCAGCCTACCAGCATTCACATTTAGTGAACGTGGCTCCACTTTCCTTCCAAACCACCGGGCAGAGGGCCTGAGGCGGGGCCTGGGCACTTCGCGTGGACTAAGGCGGGAGAGAGGACGTTTCACCTGTTCCATGGGGGAGTCCCAGAAAGGACGCTGAAGAGACCAGACACACATTGTACTTTGCTGTTTGGCTAGGACTCTGCTTGCAGTCTTACCTGTGAAAACCCTTCACCTCGTCTGTAGGCCACTCTGAGACTGTAGGGGTGTGGGTGTGGCCACCCCTTCTCCCTACTTGAAAAGGAAATGAGGGTTTTGGCATTAGAGACCAGAAGATGGACCTTGTATGTGCCCCTGCTGGCTTCACTTGAGTCCAAATAACTCTCTCAAGTGATGGCCAGTGGGCAAGGTGCATTTCCTTTGGAATATTTCTGGCAAACTGTAGATTTCCTGGATGCATTCTGCACATGAGCCACCTCTTCTTGGTAAACTGTGCTGCTATAAGGATGTTAGGAATTGTCTTTATTGGTTCTCCATATGTGCTCTAGCCACTGCATTTCCAAGGTGGAGGGATAGAGCGGGCTTACAAGGGAGGTGGTGATGAACTTGGAGTCTCTCCTGGTTTGTGGTGGCTCAGTGTGCAGTCCAGTCCGTGGAGAGAGCTTGCATGTCCTGTCTCTATCCAGCGGTGAGTGCTCTCTCATTTCTTCCCAGGTTGGCTGGCTCCTCTGGCTGATGGCATGTTGAGATTCAAGGGCCGGTGGCAGCGAGGGCTTCTGATCCAGAGGGGACCGCTCTAGAGGCCAGGCCACCAGTACCATGGGCCAGTGTGTCACCAAGTGCAAGAATCCCTCCTCAACCCTGGGCAGCAAGAATGGAGACCGTGACCCCAGCAGCAAGTCACACAACAGGCGAGGTGCAGGCCACCGCGAGGAGCAGCCGCCGGCCTGTGGCAAGCCAGGTGGGGATATCCTCGTCAATGGGACCAAGAAGGCAGAGGCTGCCACGGAAGCCTGCCAGCTGCCCACGTCCTCGGGAGATGCTGGGAGGGAGCCCAAGTCCAGTGCCGAGGAGTCTTCCTTGCAGAGGTTGGAGGAACTGTTCAGGCGCTACAAGGATGAGCGGGAGGATGCAATTTTGGAGGAAGGCATGGAGCGCTTTTGCAATGACCTCTGTGTTGACCCCACGGAATTTCGAGTGCTGCTCTTGGCTTGGAAGTTCCAGGCTGCTACCATGTGCAAATTCACCAGGTTAGTCACCAGTACTTTTCCAGGTGAGCAGAGGAGGGAGCGCACCTGGGGCAGTGGTCCGTTAGGGTGGAACTGGGTTGGCTTCATAGAGTTTGGGTCTTTCTCTGTCAAATTTCTCTAAAGCTGTTCAGCCTCTGAATAACTGGGCGCCGACCCTCCTTGACTAAAGTTAAACAGGGCATAATCCATGCTGAGCCCTGTTGCCACATCGCAGCCCAGCCTCACTGCTGCTGCAGACCCCTCGCTCCCTCTTGTCATCCACTCCCTTCCTCCCTCTCTACTGCTGTGCGCCTGGTGTGCCAGGCACTGGGAGGGCCCCTGGGATGTGCCTGTCACTGCATGAGGCAAGTTGCCCCTCCTCGCCCTCCACACAGTGCCTAGCTGGCCCGGGATCAAGCAGTAGTTGGCATCTCATAGTCGTACACCTCCATGGAGGGTGTTTGAGGGGGAGGGCATGGCAGGATTACCCCAAGGTGTGGTTTGCAAAGTGCTGGGGGTGAATAAGAATTTACTTTGAGAACTCCTCATGTAACTTCTAGCCCTGGGGTAGGGTAGCTTACCCAGCAGACCTCAGAGGCGTTTTCTCTTTAGTGGATGCAGCAGTCTCTGAGTTGGTGATCAGTGTGAGCTAAAAGTGTTATACAGATGTTTAGAATACATACACAATTTTTGTTTCTTAAGAGAAAATTTTGATCACTGGTGGGAGTTACCCAGGTTCATCCAGAATCTTTGGTCCCTTGGCCGTTACCAAGAAACAGCCCTCGGAGAACAGGAGAGCAGGAAGGGCCCCTCTGGGAGGAGAGTGCAGCACAGTCACTGTTGCAGAATGGGGAGCAGGGCCTGGAGCTGACACTTGGCTTTGGGAAGGTGAACAGATGAGCGGATAGGCAGGCACTGTTAGAAGCGGTTGACATATTAACTTGTCCTCACCCACACCCTGAAGAGTGACGTGTAGTCTCAGCACTTCCCAGGTGGAGGAGTCGGCATTCCCACCCAGCCACCCAGCTGCATGGTGCTAGTCTCCATGCTGTTGCCTCACAGGAAATGATTCTCGTTGACAATGATTAATTGTGCCCCTACTTCCTGTTGCAGGAAGGAGTTTTTTGATGGCTGCAAAGCAATAAGTGCAGACAGCATTGACGGGATCTGTGCACGGTTCCCCAGCCTCTTGACAGAAGCCAAGCAAGAGGACAAATTCAAGGATCTGTACCGGTTTACATTTCAGTTTGGCCTGGACTCTGAAGAAGGGCAGCGGTCACTGCATCGGGAAATAGCCATTGCCCTGTGGAAGCTAGTCTTTACCCAGAACAACCCGCCAGTGTTGGACCAGTGGCTACACTTCCTAACAGAGAACCCCTCGGGGGTCAAGGGCATCTCCCGGGACACTTGGAATATGTTCCTTAACTTCACTCAGGTGATTGGCCCCGACCTCAGCAACTACAGCGAAGATGAAGCCTGGCCGAGTCTCTTCGATACCTTTGTGGAGTGGGAGATGGAGCGGAGGAAGAGGGAAGGGGCCGGGGGCGGTGTGCGCAGCTCAGGGCCCTTGGGCTTGTGTCCCCAGGAGCAGACTTAGTGCTCTGTCCCAGGGCTGCGCTGCCCTGGAGCCAGCCGAGGAATGGACCTTTCTGGAAATTACCGAAGATCCGGATATTTTCTACTTTACACCTTTCTCTGCCTTGTATCTGAAAGGGCTCTAAAATGCTGTATCATGTTTTAGGCACTTTCTTCACTTTTTGGTTATTTTGGTTATTTCCTTTTTGGGGGGATCCCCCAAAATATTTGAACCTGGCTACATGTTATGTATCTTTTTTATAAGCCTTCAGATAGAATAAGCCTGCCATTTCTTGCACAAATAGATTGTTTGTGGGGGAGGGCGCCAAGCGGGGGGCTGGCGGTCAGCGGAGCTACCATTAGACACCAGTGCCAGACCTGCTGTGCATACTGTCTCAGGGCAGGTCTGTACTGTGTGTGGTGCTGTTTACATGGTTGAATTGCGGTTGTGATAATTTTTAAAGATTTACACGGAGTTGACTAGCAGTGTTAACTGTTAACCATGTTGCATTAATCCCCTGTGAGTTAAAGCCCTTGGAGAGCCAGGGCCAGCCAAATGTGTCCTCTGGTGACAACCCCATCCAGCTAATGTATCTGAACCCTCTCTCCCGCACTTCTTGCTCATTCCTTCTTTGACGCATTGCATTTCCTGTCGAGTGTACCACCAGCACGTGGCCCCTGCCAGTCGAGTGAGCGGTGTTCTAGAGCAGCCAGCACCCGAGCATCGAGAGCAGAGAAAGCAGCGCTACCTCAGTTTGGCTGGAAGCAGTCTTTGATAGGTGTTTTTCTTTTATGAATTTTCTGTATTTTCATGTTGTAAGTGGAGATACTTTTTTTTTTTTTTTTTTTCATTTGCCTTGGAGCCAAAGTTTCTGTTCCTGGTGGTCGGAAACTGCCTGCAGCCACCGGACTTGAAGGAAAACTGTGGTTTGGAGCTCTGCTTGAATACTTTCTTAGAGAATTTCTGAGTATCATCAGCTTACTTGTCTGGCAAGTGCAGAAGCCTGGGGCTGGCCTGAACTCTGCCAAACGTGAGTGTATTTAATAGTGAACGTGTGCCCTTTCCCTCTTGCTGCGCCGTGTTGTCACTCACCCCAGGCGTTATTTATTATCTGTGTTCATGTCAGGCTCATTGGGGTGATGTGATGACTGTTTAGGTTTACATTACCCTCTCTTCCTTCCCCTCCCCCAAATATATATATGTACATGTATAAGATATGTATATATTTTACCTATCTAAAATATATATGTACACATATATGTATCTATATTCCCATTTGCCTGCTAAAACTGGCCCTAGAGGAGGGAGATGAGGGCCAGGGAACATCAGGATGGAGGCTTCTGAATCTGAGTGTGGACCATTGTCACTAAAGAGAAGATGAATTTTCTCAGCTCTTTCCTCACAAGAGAGAGGCCCAGTTGCCCGACTCCTGCGCTCGCTCCCTGAGGCCAGCTTTGGACGCTGGCCAGGAGCTGACTCTCCTACCTCGCTTCAGTGGAGGGCTTGTCCTTTTCCCCTTGAAACCATGTCCTCCCGGTCTGTGCTGGAAGGGTGGCGGCAGGAACTTTGGAACAGATGGAAAAGGGAATCTTTTAAATAAACGTATAAAACACTTATATTTTTGAGGTAGCGAGTTTGTCCGTGGAGCGTTTGGCGTGTTCTCCCTGGCTGCCCCACCTCCCTCCAGGCACGTTTCTCAGCCTGGCAGCAAGTGCTTGTTCCGAGGTCCTTGACTCCTCTTACGGATTCAGACTCCCCTCTTGACAGATGGTTATTTGAAGGGTTTCTGCAGTCGATGTTTTTCTGAAATTGACATTGACAGGGAATGTAATTGGAGTTTGATGTTTGTTGCCTCTAGAGAGTGGGTGGTCAGCAATACTGCTGGAAAGCTGGAGAGGGTGGGGTCTCGGGCCAGGTGCCTGCCTTCCTTTAGCCTGACACAAGATCCTTGTATAGTTTCTAGGGACCCCAGCTGGTTCTGTGGGTTCAGTTGTAGTCAGGATGCCCAACCTGAGAGACCACCTTCTCATCCAACTGTCTGCAACCTCCTGTTTTTCCCAGTTCTGAATTGGGTAGAGGGGGCAGGGGTCCTAGCCAGTGCACAGGAGAGGGAGGCCCAGGGTCCTGAGGACCGGAGGACTGCCTCCCCAGCCGACAAGAAGGCGTCTCCTGCGTTAGGTGGACTAGAGCGGGTGGGTTTTGTTTTTAATTGTTCAGCTTCCCTAGGCCCACTGAAGAACCATTTAAAAAGTTTTCAATTATACTTTTAATGATAATTATTACAAAAGTGCAAATGAGAACCAGAAAAGGGAGCAGTCGGGGAGGGACTTCCAAGTTCCCTCCAAGTTTGTGTCCCTGACGGAAGTTCTCTAGTGGCTTGGCCTGTGCTCGACACCCTCGTGGCCACAGGAAGCAGGCTTCCTGCAGAGGGACCCGAGGTGGGAGTGCGGGGTCTTGTTACTCTTCTGGGAAATGAAACACCCCTTTCTCTTACCCTAGAAATAGGTTTGCTACTTAGTAAGCAGGAATGGTGTGGAAGAGGCCAAATGCAGGCCCCTCAACCAAGCCAGGGCAGCCTTCCCTCCAACAGGGGGCGGGTGTGGAGAGGGCAGGATGCGGATGCCATTTTGAAAATAGGCAAATATCTGAGGGCAACTACAAACTGAATTAAAATGAGCTGGTTTTGGCAAATGGTTTTGTGAGCTTCTGTGCCGTTTCTTTAGCAATTAGAAAGCTATATGAGATGGTGTTACTTCATTGAGTTGCTCTTCCCCATCCCTACACATTTGAATATATCGTTAATCCCGCCTCCTGTAATGAGGCCTCAGCAGTGCCCCCTCATCCATGCTGAATGCACCCACTTGTATGAGCTGGTTCTAAGACTCCATACCGAATTTTGGTAAGAAAAATCTAGAGCTGAGTGAAGATCCAAATTTCAACCAAGCTCCCAGGCCCGAGGAAATCCAGTTGAAGATGTACAAGGCATTGTTTTCAAAGCCACACAGTATTAGTTGGTCTTTGAAACAGTACTGGTCGCCCAGGAGTGGGACTCCACAGTTCAGGTGGCCTCATATATTAGACTAGGCCAAATTGTGTTAAACAGAGGTGGGAAGTTACTGGGATAAGGACTTGGGTCTAAAAGCTCAAAAACGAAAGCAGATCTGTACTGAGCACTGTGTGTATGCTGCACTGAAAGTGTCTTCAGTGCAATGCAGCCCAGAAGTAGACCCAATTACACAATTACAAGGTGAGGCTGGAGGGAGTGCTACCAGGTTGGTTTTGTTAGCTGCCTGTGTTTCCATTTTCCTTGCGTCTCTGGTTAGTGAGGACTTAACCGTCTTGGTAACGGATGCCAGCTGAAAGGACTCTGCACAGTCATCACATAGTGATTTGTCAAGTGTTCTTTGGGACGCATTTGAGGACATGTGCAATTGCCCCTCGTCCTCCAGTCTGTTTTTCTGAATCGTACTGGGGGGTTCCCACCCCTCCCTGCAGCTGATTCCTATGGGAAGCTGTAATTGTGGCATTTATTTAGTGTAACCTGGACTGGCCTGCCTGTCAGGGAGGCTCTAGAGGTGTTTTCCATATTGAGGGACAAAACATGCTTGAGCTCTGGTTCAGCAACCAAGATGGTTCCGATGGCTCTGAGTGGCCATCAGGTGCTGTTTCAGATCAGGTGCTGGGCATCACATCCTCCCTGCTCCTCTCGGAAGCTCAGCCTACTCTCGAACTTCCCACTTCCACTGCCCACTCCCTCCCCACTTCCAGCACAGGTCTTGGATATTGCCAAAGGAAGCCGTTCAGCTGCTGGGGTTCCCCCAGCACACATTTATTCTGGGAGAAGTGTCTTCCCTCTGACCTGGTCCCAGCCCTGAGTCTGGGATTAATTGCTCGTACCCGTTGCACTAATGAATGATTCTAGGTTTCAAAGGGGGAATTTGAAGCAGTAGGCAAAGGGGGCTTGGGTGAGTTGGTCTTACAGACACCCTGCCTTACCCCGCTGAGGTGATGAGTCCACTACTCACGTGACCCTCCACCTTTGTGGATTCCTCTTGGTTTGTGATGAGTGTGTTTCTTGAGGTTGTACAAACTTGTTGACCGAAATCAAAACTTTTGTTTGTATTCTCTGCACTGTTATGCTCTCCAAATGGCCCACTGAATATTTTTATTAACTTGTTACACACATTTTTTGTCTTTGTCTACATTATTTCTTTTGATGGTCTTTTATTTGGAAAGTTACCTGCTGTTGCGTTCAATAAATTTGTTTACTTGACAGTTCTGGAAAAAACAATAAAAAAACTGGCTTTATTCTTGGGCAAGATTTACCCCCTAGAGGCTCTTCCAACATGATATTGGATAGCAGTTCCTATGCTTTGGAAAGTCCAGATAGTATAGGCCCAGACTCTCCCACTCACCAAGCTTAATTGCCTTTGGGGTCCCAGTATTTCAGGCAAAAGCAAACGAGCCCTCACGGCCACTCCCTAAATAAGTCTGACCTCAGCAAATGGCTGGGTTCCCATGAGGAATAAGAAGTAAGTTTGAGCTCTGTGCTGAATGGGTGGCTGCCACCTCTCAGGTTGGCAGTGATTAAGGCAAAAGAGACCAGCTGAACTGCCAGGTGCTGCTCGTGAGTGAAATCGGTTTCCTTTTTCTCATCTGTGAAATCAGAAGACTGTTATTTCCATTAGTGTTAGGCTTTACACAGGAAGTGTTTATAAAGCACCTGAGACACGTAAGTCTAAGGTTTCCGAAAGGATGTCAGGTGAGTCATCAGGGAATCCAGGACCAGGAGAGCATAGGCATGGCACACATGCCCTTTCCCAGGCCACTGCCCCCTTATAGCCCGACTCCCCTCTGCCAGATTTGGGGGAGATGGAAGGCTTAGACCAGCGGTTCTCAACCTGTGGGTCGCGACCCCTTTGGGGGTCAAACGACCCTTTCACGGGTTGCCTAAGACTATCAGAAAACACATATAATTACATATTGTTTTGTGATTAATCACTATGCTTTAATTATGTTCAATTTGTAGCAATGAAATTGGGGGTCACCACAAAATGAGGAACTGTATTAAAGGGTCGCGGCATTAGGAAGGTTGAGAACCACTGGCTTAGACTAACATGATTCCTGATGATCCTGTCTGGCTCTTACATAGGAGTCTGATTAGGGCAGACTGCTTATGCCTTTCGCCTCCTTTCAGTGTGTTTTCTGTCTGGTTCCTGTTTATATTCAGGGAAGCGATGGGCCAGCCACCTCACTTTGAAGGAGGCCCTAGTGGCCTTCCCAAAGATTGCCAGCCTCCTGTTGGCATCTCCCAAAATCAGTTAGGTGCAGTGGTGGGATGAGAGTGCTTTTCCTTTTCCTTCCTGGTGGAAAGGGGCTGGGAGTCAGGGCCGTGTCCTCTCCAGCTAAGAAGAGGGTTATGAAGTTTTCTCAGTGAGCTGGGATTTTTCCTCCAGGTGGAGTTTGGAAGGAAATCTAGAGGGTGGTTTTTCCCCTCACTTGAAAAGTAAACCTCCAGAACATGTACTCATTCCGTTCTTGGGCTCCTGTCTTCTGCACATGCCCCCTCCTTCCCACACACACACCAGGCCTTACAGATTGAGGTGTGGGGAATAAAGTGAAGAATTAAGTGCTTGTACAGAGCCCAGAGCTATTCAAAGTGTTGTTGCTGAAATACACATTTCAGTTCAGTGATGGGCAAGCAGCTTCTGCACACAATTACCAGATGAGCTTAACTGCAGTGGGCTTTTTCTAGCAAGAAAGGCGCACTAGCACACACTGCAGTGGTGCTGAGAGTCCATCAGTCGCTGCGCCCTGGCCACGCCCCTCCTCAGTCCAGCCAAAGCAATGCCTGGGCTGACTGGAAGCCATTCTCTAGCTCTAGGTCCAGAAGGGTTGGTCTGCCTGGGAAGGGAAGGGAAGGCCAGGAGCCAGGCCAATCCTTCCATTTCCTTTCCTTTGCTCTGATTCCTGAGGATGCCCTGTCTTAGGAAAGCCATAAGGCCCTTCCCTGGGTTGAACTTTAGAAAGGCCTAGTGGAATATGGCAGCAGTGCCATCAGCAGCCACGCATCTAAAGATAGTGTTTTGTAATCCCCATGCTGATGGGGACGCTCCATGGGCCCTGCCTGTGTTTATTTTGGGAGGTGCTACTGAAATTGCTAGTAAATTAAAATATGAAGCTACAGAATAATGTGGAACTAGTGTATGACAAGACAAGAAAAATACGACACAGGCTCTTGTATACATGGACTTACATAATAAAGGAGGCATTTTGTTTTAATGGGTAAGTAAAGATAGGTAATTGGGTAAAATCTAAATATTTGGGGAAAAGTTATCACAGCCAAAATAAATTCCAGGAGGAATAAAGATATGCCATAGTAAGTTTAACCTTTAAAAATGTATATACTTGATAGTAGGTATTAAATTGATCTCTGTATCAAGACTTTCTAAGCAAAATAGGGAAAGAAGAAATCATAAAAGAACAAACTTCTAAAACTTAAAAAACAAATTGGAAACATTTTTGCAATTGACAGATAGACACAATCCATTACACCTTAAAAACTCAGTATGGAAAAGTACTTAACTAAAATATGGGCAAAGGATATTGATAACTCACTGAAGAAAAACAGCCAAAAAGCTTCTGGAACAAATCGTAGATACATATCTAAAGGGGATTCAGAAAACCCAGAAAGTAAACCTATGATGAAAACTATTGTTGGCTTATCAAATTGGCAAATATTTGAAACATGTCCATTAAAAACTTTTCTGGAATCAAAAAAACCTTACATGTCCCTACTCTTTAACCCAATAATTTCACTTCTAGGGATTTTTCACGATACAGTATGTGCCAAAGATGCAGGTGTGCAGATGGAGTGGCAGCCTCACTCGGGATCCACTTCAGCGGCATAGGGAACGGTTAGCAATGGGCGCACGTCAACATGTTGGAATATTGGCCGCTATTAACAACTCTGCTTTTGAATAATGGAAAAGTATGACAGAAAATGGTAAAATAGTGACAGTCAACTCGGGTGGGACTAGGTGTGATTTTAACTTGTATTTTTCAAGTCTTCATTAATAGGTTTCCTTATAATAGGGAAGAGGTTATTTACAAAAAGGGGTGCAAAAGGAAAGGGAGATGACCATGGCCGAGTGCCCTGAACAACCCCACTATGGTGAGGAGGCCAGAAGAGATCTGTAAACGCCCTTGGAATTGCCCTCCCCCCGAGCGAGGTGTCGCTTCTCCAGCAGCCGCCTTGGCAGCTCCACATGGCTGTCCAGAGGGTGTGGGAGGGGAAATGCACAGATGCACTTAGGAGTGGAATGTGTGTTTTGCAAGAGGCAGCCTTGGCTTCCAAAAGGTGGGAGTATCCGTGAAAGAGTGTGTACAGACTAGGGCCCCAGAGGTCTGTGGTCCTGCCCATTTCTGCAGAGTTCTAGAGCCGGGCCCATGAGGGACCTCCAGTCCCCCGTCCAGAAGGAAACTGCCTGCTACTGCCAGGCTAGTCCTAGGAGCACAGGGAGCGCTAACGTGCTGTGCTCGCACGTGGAAGAGGGTCCTCAGTGTAGGTGCCTTACTGACAGGCGGGCTTTCCGTCGTCATTGGTGAAGTAGGTATTAATGTCCCGTTTTAAAGGGGAGGGAACTGAGGCTCAGAGAGGGACAATAATTCCTATAGCACACTATTCTGTCAATTTCCACAAACGAGCTTTACATTTTTACAATAATTCTTGAAAGTACGACTTTCTCATTTTATACAGGTGAGGAAATGGACTCAAACGAGGTTAAGTGCCTCTCTCAGGAGTGTAGCTGAAGCGCCAACCACGCCTGTCCACACCCAAAGGCAGACACTCGCGTCCCCAGGACTAGATTCTCTGGAGGGACGCGGCGGCCCAGCTCCCACTGCTTTGGAGGCCTGCGGGCAGGAGCCCAGCAGAGCTGCTGGCGTCGGTGCTCTCAGGGCTGCAGCGGGCACTGTGCCCGGGAACCTGCCTCTCCAAGGAGCTTCAAGTTGCAGTGTCTCAACCCAAATCCAGCCCTTCAGTTCGGCTCCTGGCTCCCAACTTCCATAGGGCCAGGTCCCTGAGAAGTTACATGTAAAGGGTTAAACACTGCCTCAAATGCCCAAACTTGACAGTTATTTTGAGTAGAGGTTTTTTTTTTCTAATTATAAAAGCACTATATTGATGCTACACACAGAAAAACATTTGGTAAAACCTAATCTGCCAATCCCATAACCAGAGATAAATACTGTGATAATCTTGGCATATAGTCTGCCCAGTTTTTGTTCCAAGCCTATGCATGTTCTTGCATATTTCCTTCTACATAAACACACTCTTCTCTAATCTCCATACTTCATACAACTCGTGCTGTGAGTGCGTGCTCTCACCTTCACAGCAGCCCTGTGAGATCTGGATCATCATCCCCAGCACTGAGATGAGGTTATACCGCAGATCCTAGGAAAGCAGGATCGGGTTGGGCAGCCTGGTCTAGACGTGCGCTGCGCTCTGGCAGGAATGCACGCATCAAACTAAAGAGTTTTTACTCAGCAAAGGAAATCACCCACAAAATGAAAAGTCAACCCACAATGGGAGAACATATGTATCAATGATATATCTGATAAGGGATTAATAGCCAAAATTTATAAAATTATAAAACTCAACACCAAAATAAACAATCCAATTTAAAAATGGGCAAAAGACAGGAATAGACAATTCTCCAAAGAGAACATACAGATGGTCAACACATAAGATACTCACCGTCATTAATCAGAGAGATGCAAATTAAGACCACGATGAGATATCCCCTCACAACGGTCAGAGTGACGACCATCAACAAATCCACAAGCCAGTGCCGGCGAGGAGGCGGCAAAAGGGAGCCCTCTGCACTGCTGGTGGGAGTGCAGCCTGAGCAGCCTGTGGAAAGCATATGGAGCCACAGTGACACCTCGATATGATGGACTAATTCGGGTGAGGGGGTGTCCATTAAAGCTGAAAGTAGGCTTTCTGAATGCGTGCGTTAAAAAATTGACCAATTAGTTAACCTGTTTTTAATTACGTAGACACATTTGTGTAATTAAAATTATGTATGAAAAACTTTATATGTATTACTGTAATTTTATTATATTTTTTACTCCTCACCCGAGGGCATTTTTCCATTGATTTTTTAGAGAGAGTGGAAGAGAGAGGGAAAGACAGAGAGAAACATCGATGTGAGAGAAACACATCGATTGGCTGCCTCCTGCATGAGCCTCAACCAGGGCCCAGGCCGGGGAGGAGCCTGCAACCAAGGTACATGCCC